TCGGGTTTAGATACCAACTCTGGCCGAGGTTGGAAAAGTATCTTTCACGACTCTTTTTCAAGAGATTTTTAACTATAACTAGGGATTTTTTTATAAAGAAAAAGAGATTTTTTTATAACTAGGTAGCACCATAGTAGATTAATGTGGTAACAATATCACAGCAGATTTGATATTACATTTATACCAGTAATTTAAGGACCAAAACTATGGCCAACCACTTAAACAATATTTTCGATTTGACCTTTTCTTACCACACCCTTTCTTATATCCACAATCACCCTAAATTGCTTATAAATACTGCTGGAAGAAAGGAGAGTCAATCCAAACATTCAAAATATAGCAATAGCAATAGCAATTAGCAATTAGCAATTTTTGTTCATATGAATAACAAATGTTTTTAACAACTTACAACTATTACAGTAGAAAAAATTTTCATTTGGGTTGAAAATTTGTCATGTAATCACACATTTTATTGGGATTTTATAGTAGTAAAGCAGGGCTGAAATTTTATCCTGGTCAACTTGAGGGCTGAATTTGACTCTAGGGTGTTGCTTGCTAATCCACTAGAATTATTACAACTAGAATATATATTGATCTCATGCAAATATGCTTTAACCCATTAAGCTACATAGCTGAGTAAAATCATCGTGCATTAGACCAGAAAAAAAATTAAGGGGGGGGACTGCATCTCAATGGTAACTAGAGACATTCATAAATTTGCAGTAATAAATTTACGTGGTGTTTCCACAAACAAAAACAATTATACTTTATCGCCATGCAAACATACAAATAACTTATAACTAGAGACATTGTCATATTTTTGTGTAAGTAGGGTGCATTGTGGCCGTAGAAATATTAGACTATTATTTCTATGATTGTGGCTCAATGGGTTAATATCTTTTAATCTTCCAGTTAATAGGTTAAATTTGGAAACATATAATATAAATTATAATTAACATAAAATATTAATTCAATATTAAGGTACATATAATTTCTCTCTCACATTCTTCAATATGTGACATGTGTGTAAAATCAGAGCCAGGAATTCTTTCTCATTACGATATCAATCCATTCAATAAACATATCATGAATACATTGAAAAAATACATAGTTAAATTCGAGGTTAAATTAAATCATGCAGGTAGTAGTGAAACATAGTGAGAGTAAAAAAACTGTGAAATTAACATGCACTATTCAACTGCAATCACCATTTCTTATATAATGTAGACACAGGCATTGGGTCATTCCATTTAAAATCCACCCCCCCCCCCCTATGGATGAACTCAGTAAAATTTTAAAGATGCAGTACAGTCCGATCTGCGCATGTGCACAAAGGAACCCCCTTTTTATTTACAAACAGTTTATTTAGGTTTTTATTTCATTTTATGTTCTTGCAAAGCTTGATTGTTGTCTCATGATAATTTATTATACTCTAGAATCATGAAAATATAAATAGTTGTCAAATAAAATCCAATATTTTGGATACTGAAATGTAAACAAAGCCTTTGTTTACATCGGAACTGTACCGCATCTTTAACCCCTCAGGAAAAAAAGATCAAATTGCCGACACAAAGCACCCCTCAGAAATTTGTAAATTTTCCCCTTGCCCCTCAGAAAAGTCGCAGAGATCAAAGGATGCCGACAGGCTTAACCCCTCAGAAACGACTTTTTGAGTCACCCTTCAGAAAAGTTCATCCTTTGGGGGGGGGGGTGGACATTAAATGGAATGGCCCATATTTCATGTTCATTTTCTGACACCTCTTGTTCCTATTAAACGCTATTAAAAACTAGCCAAGGCCTTATATATCCATATTTTTGTAGCATGTTGGGCCAATGATTCTTTAATTAATATTGATATTATATTAAACGTGCCTATTCAATATCATGAGAAATTCCTTGGAAATTGTAGAAGAAACCATATTTATAATATCCAAGTCGACAAAATTATCGAAATCCAATCGAAAGTTTATCAAAACAATTAACAACTTGTACACTCTTTATAAACATTTTAAAGATATAAGTCCGTTAAATATACTCGTAATTTTAGACATAAGATTGTCAACTTAAGTTGACAATCAAATTTATATAATGTCAACAATTCCCTGGTTCTATTATTCCAATATATGTTGTATATTATTAAACTAAAGCTCCTCAAAAACTTTCATATTAATTTAACCCTCCTTCGGCTCGAGTTTGTACATCTGATACAACACTGACCGCTGATGTTGTAAATAGTACTTATTGTTGTGGTAAAATATTCGGTCTATAATCTTCCTTCAGCTAGAAAGAAGGGGTAATACTCGGCAGTAGATTTTCGCATGCTGTCGTGAACTACGTCATTTTTTAATACGAAAATATTTTCGACTGCAAGTAGAAGTACAGTAATTATAATATTTTATATACTCACTGGTGGTCAAGACTGTAAAATGAGTCAGTAGGGTCGCAGTGCTCATAAAATATCCATAAAAACTTCATATTCATAGTGTTGAGATTTCACACTTTTAATATTCCAGAACTTAAAATTTTTCAAAGGGGTTTCCCTGCAGTAGCATTCTTCACTTGATGATTGGCTGCAACCACCGCAACCGCCAATTACGAACAACCAATCACAATCGACTTTACGAGCACTGCGACCCTACTGCTATAATCCGTCGTATTGTTGTTGTTTTACATTTTGCAAACTAAGAATAAGATAATTCGAGAGATAATTCTTGTTGTCGAATTATACTTTTTACAGTAATTTTATGAATTGCAAACCGAGAAAGAAACAGAAAACACCAAGCAAAAAGCATTTAATACAGTTTTTGAAACGTAAAAATATATAATTGTACTCACCATATTGTTATTAATTTGTTCCTTATTTGAAGCAACAAGGTTTTGTTTTGTTTTCGCTGCATTTCGAAGGGAAACTATAAGTTTGCCTCGGCTGAAACGGCATCAAAATTATATCTTTATACTGACTGAAGCAAGTATAATGTTGGAAGTTCTGGCTTTCTATAATTGCAAACTTTTAATATTATCGCAGATGTAATTTTCTTGTCTTTCTTCGCCCGGCAATCCTGTTTTCAAAATATTTCCCCTTGCTTTTTATAGCTCCGTGTATGAAAAACACTCAACAACCCCCCCCCCCTGAAATAGATTTTCCTGCGATTGACGTAAATGTTCAAAGCCAATGAAATCTCGCAGTCGTCATTCAAAAAAAAATACCAGTATCAGGTAACTTGCATCCCGCATAGTCACAGCGAAAATTCAACAAAATTGATAAAAAAACTGCGCTTATTTTTCGTTATTTTCGATGTTGTTTTCGACAAAAAATTGACTGGCAGTTTAGTGAAAGTATCGGAGCTTACTTTTATGTTGTTTAGTTTGTGTTTTATTGCGTGTTTTTAAAGTTTTTGTGCTATTTCTCCAGGGCTACGTGCGTATATAGGAATTTAGCTGCCAACCTTAGCATATATTACTATAGGGATACGTACATGATCTGACCGCGCGTAAACAATGCAGTCGGGGACTAAGTAGTAGTATGATTTTATTGAACAGAAATGAATTAATAACACTGATTGTTGGTCTACCTATGATACAAGCTCACTTTTTGAGCGTGCACGTCGGGAAAACTTTTCAAAACATCTTTAAAAACTGCAAGTTTGACTTTTCATCTTTGCCAAACTTTGGTCTTTTCATAAAATTTATAAATGTAGGACTTTAGTTTTACATTCACTTGTTTAAAAAGATAAAACACTACATATAAATGCGGTAATTTAAGTCGAATGACAGGAGTTTGTTTAATTTAAAATACATTTATTGATTTAATATAAAATATCAATTTTAAACTAACATTATTAACACGATATTGAACGTAAACACGTATAAAAACACATTAAAAGATAACGTAAAAACTGGGAAACAACCTACGTATAGTTTGAATTTCAAAAATTTGCAATTAACCAGCTGAAAACTTGCGTTTTCTTCCTTGACATATAAAGTTTGAAAACATACGACTTTTTTCAATTTTTTTCTATCCGAAGATTCCGCGCGACGCGAGTGTTTCCACTTTTAGAATTATCTTGTTTCCAGTTTTACAATCGTTTTTTCACTTCTAGTCAACTGTAGGGAGCCACCTTAAGGTGGTTCCCTACAGTTAGTACAGTTTAAATATGATTTATATAGATCAGAATTCATCCTCGCGACACAGAATAGATACACAACCAGCAGTGTCACTCAGACGATAATTTGTCCGAAATTTTACGAGTGCTGACGTGAAAATACGCCATCATATGACGCCATCCTGGAGTGCACACGGAAGTTTTTCATAGGAAAACATAGGTACAAAGTGCCGTGTGCACTCCAGGATGGCGTCATTGCACGTAAAAAAATTTCGGACGTTTTCCTTCAGTCAAAACCACTGAGCTCTACTATATATATCTGGAGATCGTGCTCCCATACTATTGTTCCCAATAAACTGCGAAACGACCGTTTTTTTAGGCGCTTTGTCAGTGGCAGTTTTGTCAATTGCAAAGGACATATTTGTGTACCACGCGATTACAATTCTTTGCAAGCGGCGTGTGAAAAACTGCAAGTTTCAGTTTGACAGTTATGGCAGTTGAATGGTTTCTAATTTTATTGTCCAATCAGATGATTTAAAATTCAAAACTACGCATCTGATTGGACAATAAAATTATAAACCATTCAACTGCCAGAAATGTCAAACTGAAACTTGCAGTTTTTCACACGCCGCTTGCAAAGGATTGTAATCGCGTGGTACACAAATATGTCCTTTGCCATTGACAAAACCGTCACTGACAAAGCGCCTAAAAAACGGTCGTTTCGCAGTTTACTGGGAACAATAGTATCTCGTCAAACAAAAAAGTGTCCGCAAAAACATGGCGGATTTCGAGCTCCGCGTCCACTATTTTCGGGCGATTTACCACTGACCACATAATATTTTTGAAAGCCACCTGTTTTCGCACCCCCTTGGATGCAAAAAAGTATACACTGTGTATTAATTATCAAACTATCAAGTTTCACAACTTTATATTTTGTCAACATGCCGCGTTAATATTGCTCGGTTTATGGTTGTCACAACTTCTTTGACAAAGACGGATTGTATTCACACTGTCACTGGTAAGGAAATATTATTTTGTGCTTAGATATCATTCGAGAAGTTTTTTCTGTAGTTTATGTTTTGTTCACGTGCATGTGTCACGTACCAGCTATGGTACGACTATGGCTTCTTTTCTGAGGTTTTTGCATGCAGTTTGTTTCATTCAAATATTATATTTCCATTGTTCCTTGTGATGTTCTCGTGTGCGTTTTTCCTACCTACTGTACAGTGTATTTTATAGGCCTGTTTGTATTTATGAAAGCATATTGTTATTGAATTTTTTTCCCTTCACATATTTAAGTATTCCTGATGCAAAGAAGCATCCAGAGTTGTACAGCATATGGGTTGAGTATATGAATAAACATGCGACAGTGAAGTCTGTTCCTGCGAAAAGTAGTCGTTTGTGTTCAGATCACTTTAGTGCTGATATGTATGAGATAAAGGGCAAAAGCCAGAAATTAGTATTGAGACCGGATGCTAATACCAACAATAGTTACACAAAGGTTTGCTCAGGTCATTGGTGCGATTTAAAGTGTTATATGTAACAGTGTGCATGAGTTACATTCTTTGCTAAGGGACAAGTCATTATTAATGCCGGGTAGGGGACTGGAGGAAATTTTTATGAATAGCAAAAATTTTTCATGACCCCTTATTTTTCTAACAAACTATTTTATCCCCCCCCCTTATTGAGGCAACATATTTCATAGCCCCCCCCCCTCCACCCCAATTCTGAATTCAATTACTCTAAGTCAGTTTCATAACCATTTTTCCTGCCCTCATACTCAGTTTACTAGCAGATGTAAAGAATATTGTAAATATTGAAAATAAAGAATATTGTAAATATTGAAAATGATAGCCAAGTAGATAATTCAGACTTTATACCTGAAAAGTTGTTGGTCCTCAAACAAAAAAACCACAAATCAGACCTACTTTTACTAATTGAAAAAAATACATTTGTGTCTGGTGGAAGCGTTACTGTATATTGAAGAGATAGCAGAAGAGACTGTCAACAACATGTAGAAACAGAACATGCAAAAGAGGTCCACTGTGTTAAAAGCAGGACAACAACTGTCAACTGAATCTTGCATTTGCAAATGCAGTGCATGACCCTTTAGACAAATTCTTTGGTGATGATGAGGATGACAATTTCCATATACAGTGCCTAGAACACAACTTTTAGGTTCAATATATTGGGCATTACTGTTCAATGTATGTATACTGTATATATCCATCACTCTTTTGATATTGCATGTTACAAACTATAGATTTTATTTTTTGCCCCCCCCCCTTTATGTTCAAAATATTTTCTGCCCCCCCCCCCTTCACTGGTCAAAAATTTTTTGTGGCCCCTCTATATTAAAATTTATTGTACATTTACTAGGAATAGTATGCTGGATGTGTTTTAAAAGAGGGCATACAAAATTGTGTGCCCAAACAGAGCAAAAACCCACTCAGACAGTTGTTCAAGAACAACATAATTGGCACAATTGCCATGATATTAAATTCACTAAGTAACTTTGTGTATGTTATAATGTGTGAATGTTGTGTGAGTGTTGTGTGTTAATTTTAATTTATTTATTAGGCCATTAATAAATATTCTTGGTTTGAAAAATATTTTAGGGGGGGATGTCCCCACTGCTGGTGCCACCACTGGAAATATCAGCTAATTATAGCCAGCCTTTTATTAAAAGCGATAGCTATGTGCGTGTTTCACTTGTATAATTTGGGACAACCCGAGAATATCCTTATGGAATTAACAAAATAATTAAAACATGGGTATGAAAGCAAGAATACTTATTGATGGCTTGTAATAGTAATATAATAATATTGTATATATTTTTAAATTAAACTTTTTAAATGTTGAATAAATCTAATTTGTAATGAAAATTAATAATGCACATAAGAATATGTTTAATAAAATAATATATAATTGTTTGGTGTGCTAGATCCTTAATTAACCAATCCTTTGCCTGGTCAAACAATATGATTCTATTGCCATGAATTGCCATCGAATATAACAATGATTCCAGTGACAAACGTAGAGCCATATACGTTTGGGTATTTATTAGTGCAGATTTACTTTCCCCATAATGTGCACAGAGTACATTGTGAGTAGACATGATCAACAATGTGCAGTTTCCATAATCTGAAAAATACAAACAGCAGTAAATATTTACTTCATTTGATACATGCATAAACCGACATAAGTTTTGTTTCAACAAAGCATGGCTGTGTTCACAAATTTATACATTAAAATTATATGTATAGTAGAAATATGCAAAAGGAACAACATACTTTTTATACAATTTGAAAGAGAATTATGCACATATCAACGGCCTGCCCGGGGGTACACCCTGGGACAACTGGGAGGAAACGAGGGGGAATTTGGTATTTTATTTGTGTGTTCTGCCTGTGGACCCCGGGGAGATTAGAGAGTGGTCATTATTTATGGGGAGGGGGGGGGGGGTGTTGGGAAATGGGGAAAACAAGGATTGAAAACTTTTTTGACCCCCCCCCAGACTGAAGGCAAACTTTTTGTGTCTCCCTCCTCATAAAAGTAGAAACTTTTCTGACCCCCACCACCCAGTGTAGATTGAAAAATTAACAGCAATTAAACAGGTGTGCGTTGCATGTAAAGTTAGATATTAGGACAATCTGTTTAATCTAGCTCATGATGTTTTACCCTGGTGAATATGATTCAACCATATGTGATTAAAAATATATATTATTTGTTACTACTTTGCAATGCAACATTTGTCCCACCATAACCCTAACCCATGACCCGTCTTCATACAGCAAAATGATTTGAACACAGCGTTTTTTTAGGAACTTGTCTGGGCACCAACAATGGCAGTGCCTCGCACTCATGGGAGTCGGGCACGCTAAGTTTAACAAGCTTGCTACCCCCTGAGTGTCACTGAGTGATCCAGTTGTGGTATTTACATAAACATACCATGCAAATACACTTAACTGATCAGATTCGGTCTATCAACACACAATGTAACGTTGTATATCCAAAAATCTGTTTCAGAAAATGCTTACATTTCAGTTCTAGGGGTGGAAAAATACAAAACATTTTCTGGGGGAAAATCCCCGGACCCCCCTACTAGTACATACAATACCACACCAAACTTTTTGTCACCAACAACCATCTGTCATCTCTCCGCACTCAATATAGTATGGTCCCTTTTTGTAGATGTCCACCCCAGAGCAGGGAAATTTTGAGTATCTAGATTGTTGGAAATAGCATTTTCAGAGTCTTCTTTTTTGCTATTTGTGATTATAGAAATCAGAACTCTAGACATAGTATTTAAGTTCAAAAACTTTTATGACCCCCCCCCCTTTCTCTGTGTTAAAACTTTTTTGATCCCCCCTATTTATAAGGGTAAAACTTTGTCCCCCCCTCCCATTTCCCAACCCCCCCCCTCCCATAAATAATGACCACTCCCTTACAAACTTCGCAATAATAGGACGATGGGGGGAGGGGAAGTAGGGGACTTTGACATGACAATTTGAATTTTATAAATGAAGTACATAATTGGTGTGAACTCAAAATCACAGGCTCACACAGAAAAATATTGATCGGCAACTTATTATTTATGATATTTTGTAGTGGTCTTGCTAAAATTTGAATAAATAAATACAGAATACACGAGTGCCATTGTGATACCCCAGTTTGTATAATAATTTTTAATTGTTTGTATGCTATTTATATTATGAACTACTTTATTGTAAGCCCAGGGGGAGGGCAGTTTGACTTACACATTTCCCGGGGGAGGGAGGGGGAATTAATGCACTAGAATCTTGTTTTTGCAAAGTCCCGGGGGTGTACCCCCAGGGCAGTCCATTGATATGTGCATTATATACAAGTAGTAATCGAGTTGAAATATTATATAATAGTAATAAATTATAGTATATTTCAATAAATGAATGTATGGTACAGTACAAGTGTTTCATTAAAATTTTGAAAAATGCCTCACCTGTAGTGCTTTTCAGCTTTTGTTGTTTATTTATTAACATATGGAAACAGAATCACCATAGTCCTCGAAATTTCAAAAGTTTGTTTCCCTTCATGACAATTATTTCAATTTCTCGTTAATTTAGTAATTTATTACTCATTTTCTACGGCTCCACACAAAATACTGTAGGTCTGCACCTACCGATACTGCAAAAGCATACATGCGACATGGGCAAAAATACCACCATTCGTTCAGTTTATTTATATTATCTGTTTGGATCATCATTTATACATTTCACAGCAGAAATTGTGGAGATAGTCGCTCGAATGAATTAATGATATGATCCAGC